TCAAAAAATTAATACTAAAAATGATCAGACAGAAATTACCAAGGTGCAAAACAGGTAAATAGCTTCAGAAATAAGATATACACCAGAGTTAAAAATATCCTACAGACAATTGAAGGAATACTATGTACATTTGAAATGAATAATTTTGAATTAAATGCCCTCAATGTGTGTTAAATGAAAACTACTTTAAATAACTAATAACCATTAACCAAATAAGAACTTTAAACTGAATTATACCCATAAAATAGTCAGATAGTATGCATTTATTATGAGGAAGTTTGAATATATCTTCAAAAAACTGATAATTTCTTCATTATTTGCATTCTACCCAAGCACAGAAAAAATATGGAAAAGCCTATAGTTAACACTGTAACAGTATCATAAACCTGATATTAACTGTATGAAGAAAAGAAAGAAGAGCCAGTTATTTCATCCATGAATATAAATAAAAATAAATATATTAGGTGAAGGGATTTTTAAATGAAAAAACATATATACTTAGTAATTACTGTACAGTAGACAGCAATATGAAAATTCATAAAAATTCAAATCTGTTCCTTAGTCTTGAAGGCAGAAATATTAAAAAATCATTATTTGCATTATCATCATGATCTACACACAGAAGAGTTGAAACCTGCACTCTATATGTGAATGTTCAAATTGTGCAAATAATAATTGGTAGGAAGCACGCATTTTTAGTTTTGCTGAATTCAAAACCAAGACATTTCTAAATGTCAACCAACAAAATAATTGAAATTATATTCAGAACATGGGATCTCTTTTTTGGAAACATAACTTACAGGAAATATTGTTTTAAAGAGCTTATTCTCTATGGTTTATGTGTAAAATTAGATGAACAGGTGTAAAACAAAATGGCTAATCATAAAAATATCCTGGATTATAATTGTTATTTAAATTCTATTTAAATTTCATTATTAAAATGTTCTATTCTACATTAAATTTTACTATTCAATTTAAGAATTTATTATTTAATTTTACTATTAAAATATATAAATAGAAAACCTTAACATATTAAATAATTAAATCATTTAAATTTAACTTATTAAATAATCAATATTTTTAATCTGTAGAATATTATCTATTTTTACCAAATTCTGTTAATATTCAACAGGATAATGATAATTAAGTCAAAAATGGGGATTCACACAGCAATTTGCATGTATAAGTTGGCCATTAATACAGGTGTTAGGTAACACCAGGTAATTATCTTTCAAAGTATCAGTGACCTTGAAAACAGGGAGAGGGGTTAGGAAAGCCAAATGTTTTTCTCTTATATATCTGGAAGTACTTGTTTTGTTGGGTATTTTGAGATTTAAAAGGGAGAGATACTAGGCAGATTTACATGATAGATGCATTACTGGTCTAACAGAGCTTATCTTTTATTTTTCTAAATACCAATCTTCTCAGCCTAATTGTCTCAAAGAAAATAAAGCACCTAAAAGTCTGTTTGAAATTATTCTATCTTGCAGTCCTAAGGTAAAAGTACACAAACATTAGACTACCTGTAACTGACTACAATCAATTTCCAATGTATTCTTCTGCATTTGGGGAAAAAAGTAGGAGCTTATAAATGTGGATAAGAGCCCTCAGCCCGTGAATAACCTCATCAAAATCATTAATGATTATATTAGGAGGGATATTAATCTAACTCTTTAGGTCATCAATAAAACTGTAAGAATTTTTTTTAGATATTCCAAGAGAACAGTTTTTAATTGACCTTAGTTACAGCACAAAGACTTAGAAATCTAAAACAAAAGTTACTATGCTCCAACAGAGATCATTTCTGAGACCTGTGCTCTTTGAAGTGAGGGAGGACACCCCCACCAAATGCTGCCTGTCTGTTTCTAAGATGGGATCCTTTCTCTACTACTGCATGAAGTTTTCTCCTTCCAAATAGCAAGACCCAATATTCATTTTCAATATTAAAAATGCAGATATTATGGGAGTACCATTATTCTGTGAACGAAGATAACTCGGTAATTGCTTTATTTCTTCTGGAGGGAATTTCACCTCTGAGGGTCTCCCTTGGATTTGTCCTTGGAGAATATTGTATTCTTTCATCTCCATAGAGTTCATAGACCTATGCACAACAAATCAAAGTATTCCCTTGCTTCTAAAAGTCTTCTGAGGAACTGGAGGTGGAAAAAGAGGTTGTTATTGCTCTTACAAAGTAGAATCAGAAAGGTCTTAAATATTGGAGTTGTAATAGAAATTCAAGATCTTCATTCCAACACCATTTTATAGACTAAGAAAGATGAAGTGACTTTCTAAATGTCACACAATGAATTGGCCAGCTGAAGCAGGAAGAGAACTTTAGAAATTATAGGAATGGCTATATTTTTTCTTCATTTTCAATAGTTGTGGTTTGATTTCTTGGTGTTACCTTTTAATAGCATCATTCTGTAACCAATATCATCAATTTTGAAGAGGTAATGTTTCCCCTGAAACTATGTGAATTGATATCACATTACAAAAGAGAAAACTTAACTCTAATAGAAGCAACACCTCTTCCACTCCTGGTAGAATTCAAGTAAGTACACAAATTCTGAATATAAATTTGCAAAGCATTTATAGTCAAATGTAATTAGAGAGAATACAAATTGAATTCATAAAACATGTTGGACCCTAGTTTATGTCACTAATTCTTAAGACAATTGAAGCTGTGGGCAAGCAATTAGGGAAATGGGGTCGTGAGCATGTAGGAATGAAGATTGTAGGAAATTATTTTTCTTCTTTTCCTTCATATAGAATCCCTTCCCTATAGTGCTCTCACCAGAACTCCCAAAACCTGTCCAACAAAGAAAAATCAAATACAATGGAGTACTAACTCATTTGGATAAAAAACGCTAGCATTAAGTTGATAAACATCTTACTTTAGAGTATCGTGACCCCTGTTTTTCCTTTAAAGACAAAGAAGCTTGATCATAAGATATCCATTGTCTTTTTCTTCTTGAGCACTACTGTGAAACTGCAGACAACGAAAACCCACAGTACAGAGAAGATCCAACACTTAACCTGAAATTAACTTTTTGAGGATAAAATATTGAGCTTTAGGCATTGAGTTCAAACCATACTACTGTTGCTCTTTGTTGCAGACTTGCATAAAATTCTGAGGATTAAACTATCACTGACATCTTTGTCTTACTGATAAAGATCACATTCTCTTTGTTTTTCAATAGCCTATTAAGGTCTTTGAATGAAAATAACACAATCTTGACATGAAATATGCAAATTACCATCTTTTTAGTGACCACATTTGAACTATAGTAAGGGGCCCTGGTGGTGTAACAGGTAAGTACTCAACTGCAATCACGAAGGTCAGTGGCTGAAACCCACCCATGCTTCCATGGGAGAAACACCTGACAACATAATATGTTCTACAAAGCGCACAGCTTTTGATGGCAATTCTACTCTGCCGTATAGCACTGTTATGAGTTGGATTCAACCTGATGTACACAACAACAACAAATTTTAGCTTGATGGCCAGTGTTTGTATTGTTATATCTTGGAGAGAACTTGGGATATTGTTACAAAACAGATAAAATTATTCTTAAGTGAATAATGGAGAAATGTGAATTTTTTTGGTGAAATTCTTTGTTATTTCTTGTAATTTCTATTTTTCTTAGTTTTACAGCCCTACTTTTCTGAAGACCATGGTCACGCAAAATGGTTCCTCCATAACGGAGTTTGTCCTCGAGGGATTGACCCGGAAACCAGAACTGCAGCTGCCTCTCTTCCTGCTGTTCCAGGGAATCTATGGGGTCACTGTAGTGGGGAACCTGGGGATGATCCTCCTCATCACTTTCAGTCCCAAGCTCCAATCTCCCATGTACTTTTTCCTCAGTAATTTGTCATGCATAGATTTCTTTTACTCCTCAGTTATTACCCCGAAACTCCTGGAGAACTTTTTGTGGGGGCAAAATGTTATTTCTTACAATGGATGTATGACTCAGCTTTTTTTCTTTTGTTTTTTTGCTATTGCTGAATGCTATATGCTAACTGCCATGGCATATGATAGGTATGTTGCTATCTGTAGTCCTCTGCTTTATAATGTCACTGTGTCCCCAAAGGTCTGCAATGTGCTCGTCATTGGCGTCTATATTATGGCTTTTTTAGGAGCTGTGGTTCAAACTATCTACATGACTAAACTTTCCTTCTGCGAGGACAATGTCATACGTCATTACTTTTGTGACGTAATTCCTCTTTTAAAGCTCTCGTGCACTAGTACATACATCAACGAGCTTTTGTTGATGGTTGTAGGCGGTTTCAATGTGTTAGCAACAACTGTGTCCATCATCATCTCCTATATTTTTATACTCAACAACATCCTTCGAATCCCATCAGCGGAGGGCAGGTCCAAAGCTTTTGGTACTTGTGGCTCTCATCTTACAGCCGTTGGGATTTTCTATGGATCTATCGTATTTATGTATTTTAAGCCGGAAGCCAGTAGCAGTATGACCCAGGAGAAGGTGGCTTCTGTGTTCTATACCACAGTGATTCCTATGTTGAACCCCTTAATTTACAGCTTGAGGAATAGGGATGTAAAAACTATCCTCAAGAAAGTCATGGGTATGAAGTTTAGACAACCCCAGGTTAGTAATCAGAACCAGTAAGGGTCACATTAACAGTCTCCTTCATTATTTTTCCTAAAAGTATTGGATTTTCTGTTTCTTAAAATTAATACCCCATTATCAATCATTTGATCATGACTATCAGTTACAATTTTATTGGAGTCTCATTGCACATACACACATGAACATCCTGAGAAAACTATAGTAGATATTATGATTCAGTAAGTCTTTGATGAGGCCTAGGTATATTTATTGAAAATATATATTCAGTTGAGTCAGGATTATATTACATTTCCCCCATTAAGAAAAACATGGGTAGTGTGTGCACACGTGTGTGTTATAAATGTATATATATAGATAGACAGATAGATAGATAGATAGATAGATAGATAGATAGATAGATATAGATAGATATGTATATAGAAACAGATAGATTACATAGATAGCTAGTTTAGGATACATAACAGTCATTCCTTTTTTCTTTAATAATAGGATAGATGATGCTAAAAGTAAGTGATATAAGACTTGGTTGTGACAGAAAATAATCACCTGAAGCCTAGAACTTAAACGTAACTTAAAAGATAAATGCATACTTGGCTAATTTGAACCCTTTTTGATGGATCTTTCTTAGGAATTTTTGCAATATAACATGTCTTTAAAACAAATTCCCTAATTAATGAACCTTCACAAAACTGAATGAAGATTGAATACTCTTGATAGTGTAACTGAGTACGCTATTGATAGTATAATCTAAAGAAGACGGTGCATCTGTGAAGCCATTTTCAAAACGAAATCTCCATCTACTACCAAATTTGTAAACAGTTGATGATTCTGCCATTCAAAAGCTTAACTGCTTAAATGACATATTGACAATCTCAATATGCTAAGACTATGGTATACTTTTAGGTTATTAGCCTAAATGAATCTCTTCTGTACATCACATTCTCTTGTTCAATTTCCTATGTCATCCTTCAAGGCATATCTCTTCTTTATTCTGGACATATAAGCATATGATGGGAATCAGCATCCTACCATTGTTCAATCCTTTAACAGTGCCAACAATCTACAATCCTGCTAAGAATGTGGTATTTTGGTGTATAATATTCCGGGGTAGAAAATGTTATCTACTTGTCTTTTTCTCTAAATAATCCTCATTTCATGGGCCAGAGAACCAATATAGGAATCCAGCCAGTTGCTGAGCATGTATATGCCAATTAAGCAATGTGGAATTAGTGAAAAAATAGAATATTGATTCATGGACTCACTGGATGCACTGTGAGGTGAACATGATCCAAGGCACTGTTGAGCTGAACTCCATAAGCCCCTGCTCTGAATGGCGTGCCACAGTGATGTTTTGGGTCCCTTGGAATTATTGTTAGTTCAGACAGTGTCCAATAATTCCATAAGCCTGATTGTTTCCTTTTGCCTGCTGTCCAGTGTAAAGGCAGTGGGTCTCTTTTTAGATGATTTGGAGAAGCCAGTATACCTTCTTGGGAATATAGTGGTGTCCCACCTCCAAGAGACCCTGTGTTCTCTTCAATTAAATGGTTTTCAGACTGTAAATTGGCTGATGTCTGGGAATTGATTGAGAGGTCATGACTTTCTATTATGATCAGTCACTCATTCCTGTTTAGTCATTTTTATGCGTAATTGATATAGCTCAATTAAGAATTTGGTAGACTTTCCATCATTTTCATTTCTAGGTACAGCAGGATCAACAGCCAACACCATATGTCTTTGTGAGTCACACTATTCTGATTGCTGTTCATTATGCTAAACACCTCCACCTTGGCTTTGGTGAATCTATGTTGCCACCTGGTGCCTACCATTTGGAATCCAGTTATTTCCATGGCTCTTAATTTCACCAATCTAGTGGAAGCAGTTCCTACTGTAATATCGGAGGCACTGAGTAGAGTGATCTGGTGGTTTTTCAAGGATGTAGTAATAACCTAAATGTATTCTTTGCATTTATGGTAAATATGGTCTTTTTTGGCAAATGAACTCTACCTTTCAAATGTTCCAACGTGTTTAGTTTCCTCATCAGTAAAACAAGGCTTTCCTTGCATTTCAACTTTAATTAGTGTGATTGCTTTGTGGTATATGTTTGTGGATCACACAAACTCTTTGTCTAACCTTTTGCGCTAAAACATTAATCTGGAATCCCTGCTTGATGGGCCATATAAATAATACTGAGCATATTTAACTTTAAGTTATTCCCATCATTATTCTATATCATCAATATTCATTTTCAATTATATCCCAAGTATTTCTTTATATATAAATTAGAAAAATCATTCAGTTGTTTTGGAGTGGAGTGTACCATGTCATTGGTCTTATTTGTATCTCTCTTTTTGGGACATTCTTTGGAGAGAGTTTTAGGTCGAGAAGAAAGGCACAGTAGTGGGAATGAGCGTTGAGGAGCATCAGCAGTGTCTTACAAGGAGCTATCTTAAGGGAGCCTATTCCATGTTAGACGTGATTAATTGTTATAAATGGGGACAAAAGGGCTGCTTCTATTAACAAAGAGGTCTTAATAAAGAGTTAATAAAATAATGCAGTCATCTTTTCTTATTTTTCTTCTATGAAATATAAAATAAAGGTTGGCATTACTTTGTCTTTGAAGCTATGGGTCAATTGCCCTTTGAAGTCATCTGAACCTGTCATTTTTCTGTAACATAAATTCTTACTAACTTTAATCCTTGATGGATATTGTAGTTTAATTAATCTCTGATGGAAGCATTTTGGTAAAATCTACTGTCCTGGGATATTATCCATTTTGAAAAATGTTAGGAGTTTTTTTTCATGCAAAGATTTCCAAAATATTTATATGATTTTCTTTCCTTTATTCTATTTCAATTATTCATTTTTGTTTCTCATTTATCATGATATATACTTGTAGGCACTTGTACCTTGATTAAATAAGACATACATTTATCTGTTTTATTAAATTTTTCCAGTAAAATATAATTTTATTATATACATTGTTTTATATATACAATTTTATTAATTTCTTATTTGTATTGTTTCCTACTATGCTTTTTCCATTTACTTTATTGATTTCCATCTAGTTTTAAAATTGTGAAAGTTAACCCATGTTTTACTTATAACCTTATTAAATAAATTGTGAAATCTGCAAATATTAATTATTCATATAATTATCACACGTTCATTAAAAAGGATACACTTTTAAAATCTCATAATTATAAGGGTTGACAAATGCCTGGGGTAAATGAGACTCACTTGCATTTTCTGGTGGCAATATAACATGGCAAATCATCTTAGAAAACAGTTTGATACATTTCCTAATACTACATGGGAGAGTAAGCCAAAAAGTTTTGCCAATAGTGTATGGCCGGATCAATACCAGGCTGGCTTCTAGCAGCAAGTGACCTTGAGTCTTCCCCACCTATGCGTAGCTGACCAGAGCTGGCTGAAACAACTAGCAGCAAGTGGCCTTGAATCTCCCACACACCCCTGCGGAGCTGACCAGAGCTGGCTAATGGCCTGCTTTGTTCTCGACCTGCCGCTCTGCACCCGGCACTGGCACGGCCTGTTTGGCTCAGTGCTCACTTTGCTCTCAACCCTCCACTCTGCACCCAGCACAGCCCGTTTGGCTCAGTGCCCGCTTTATTCTTGCCCACCACTCTGCACCGGGCATGAACACACCTGAAATCAGGAAGACACCTTACATTCCAGAAATCCGGACATATCTGTCCCTATAAGCAACAGCCCTGTAGCCTGCAGTGTGACTTCCCAAGCCCGGACGTTGTGGACTGTGGGATTTCGCCCAGGCTGGGTTTTTTTTTTCCCTCCCTAATAAAGTCTGTTTGTTCTAATTCGACTGATTTGGTTTCTGGCACCTCTCAACTACCTTACAAATAGAATTCCAGTTTATGGTTTAGACAAGGTGTGTTTAAGCATGTCTCTAATAACACTGGATATCTGTAGTCCGATTTTCTAAGTATGGCAGTCTTCTTAGTAAAGGTTTCTTTAAAAAGAAGGAGGAGAAGGAGAAGAAAAGATCCTTTTCTGCTCAACAGACAAAAACGATGCTGAGGTCAGAATTTTTGCAGCATTTTATAGGAAGTCATCTCCACATAAAACAACAGTATTTATATGTATTAAGCATTAAAAGGAAAGCCAGAAAGATCTTAAGTGTAAGTTGAGAGACAGAAGACCATCAATCTCAAGGAATTTCTCTGATGGCTAATAAGCAGGAACATTTTGTCATATGTTTCTTGGCCATACAATAGTGAAACTTCTTTTCAGTTCATTTGCCCACTTCTTCGAGGGCTAACTGCTGTTCTCCTTTTGCAGGCAAGGAAAGTATGGTAGATTTTTGTAATAAGCCCTTTGTCTGTTGTGCCGTTGCTAAAAATCCTCTTCCAGTCTGTGGGTTGCTTTGTTAAGCTCTTGGTAAAGTCTTTTTATTCACCCTGGTGTTTTATCCTTAGTAAATCCCACTTGTCGATTTCAGGTTCCTCTGTGTGTGTACCCTGCCCTATTGCAGTTAGCCTTTGTATTCCCTGGGCCAATGTTCTTAGGTTTGTACTGATTCATTTGCTAATGGTCCTAATGGTTTGGGGTTTACTTCTATGTCCATGATCCACCTTGAGTTTGTTCTTGTGCCTGGGATGAGCTAGACATAATTTTTCTATGTAGATTTGCATTGTTTCCAGCACCACTTAAATAGAGTGTCTCTCTCCCCCTTGATGTTTTTGGCGTCCTTGTCAAAGATCAGTTTTCTATATGCTGATGGTTTTATTTCTGGGTTTTCTGTTCTTTTCCATTAGTCTCGTTTCTGTCGTTATGCCAGTACCATGCTGTTTTGACCACTGTGGCTGTGTAGTAGGTGTCAAAGTCAGGTAAAGCAAGTCCTCCAACTTTGTCCTTCTTCTTGAGGAGTTCTCTGCTAATTGTGGGCTTCTTCCCTCTCCATATGAAATTGGAGGTCAGCTTTTCCAATTCTTTGAAGAAGGTTGTTGATATTTGAATCAGCATAGCACTAAACTTACTAATGGCCCTGAGAAAGATAGATATAT